CTGGCGGGGTCCAGTCTGCTCCCCAATACACTAAGAGTGTCCTGTGCTGGCGGGGTCCAGTCTGCTCCCCAATACACTAAGAGTGTCCTGTGCTGACGGGGTCCGAGTGCTGCCCACTACACCAAGAGTGTCCTGTGCTGGCGGGGTCCAGTCTGCTGCCCACTACACTAAGAGTGTCCTGTGCTGGCGGGGTCCGAGTCTGCTCCCCACTACACCAAGAGTATCCTGTGCTGGTGGGGTCCGAGTGCTGCCCAGCAGGTTCATAAGCGTCAAGACAGGATGTAGAGCTCTCATTTGCTTAGGGATACAAGGATAGAGGCAGAAGCCATTGATGAAATGGAAAATATGACAGCGAAAAAGGGAAGCCAATTACAACCCCCTCAGAGGGGGAAGACAGGCTAACCGGGAAGTGCACAATGGGGCAATAGAATCCAGACTCAGCAAAAGCCAGCAGAGGGGATCGGCTGCTAAACAAAAGCTGAGCAGAATGAATGTTCCTGCTAACAGACAAGCAGTTGGCCTGGGTTTCTTTTTGTTTTTGAGATGAGTTCTCGGTAAGTGATTCTCCCGCTTCAGCTTCCCAAATGCTGGCACGACAGGTGTGTGCTATCCCCCCAGTTCATACTAAATTTCAGAAGTGGAATTTTTACAAATCTAGGGCAAATGAATACTTTCCTAATAAAATGTCAAATAGCCAAAATTAACTAGGGAACTAGCAAAGGAACAAAAACTGGAATAGACTGATTACTGATAATGGTGGGGAATGCTGCCATAGGAAAGTGCCCTGATCTGGAAGGTTCCATGGGAAGAAATTACAGAATCCTTTAGGACTATCTGTGACATCACTTTCTTCCTTTAGGAGGCATTCTGAGATGTTTCCTGCCAATCCCATCACTGGAGAGAGGCAGCTTCCAAAGTGCCTTCTGTGGCACCTCGGGGACACATTTGCCACACGTCTCCCAATGGTACGTTTGTCGGCCTGTCTTACCTCCTGGACAGTAAGCTACCTGCAGCCAGGGCTTTCCTTTCATTACCCTCCTGATGTGCAGCACAGTACCCGCCATTTCTGACGGACTGAAAGACGTGGGAGGTGCCTTTCCCATCAGCTACTCAACTGCCTGGGTGCAAACTCCCAACAGGGAAGCCTGAGAAGCAGACGCAGGAAGAGGACCCCGAAGCTGGCAGAAATAGATTGCAATTTGCCCGTTACCCTAACATTTAAAAGGAGGTCAAATAGTTTTACAGGGGAGGGCATAGTAATTCGCGCATTCAAACAGGCTGGGGAGTGTTCCCGCCTCGGGATGAGGAAGAGGGAGGCCGGGGTCCAGGATTAGATAGAGACCTATATGTCTCACAGGAGACACCTCCAGCCAGGAACAAAAGATGCAGGATGGGGACCCCCAAGAGCCTGCAGATGAGTGAGTGGAAAGGCCGCAGATCTGGGAATCCCCTCCACACACAGTCCTTCCTCAATTTAGAAACAGAGCTTCCCCAATTTAACCAAGCATTCTTATGCTCCAGAGCCACAGGCCTAGCTCTTCCAGCCCCCCCAGACACCAACCAATGGCCATTGTCCTCTTGCTCACCAGCCTAGACCCTCTTCTGGCATGGAGCCCGGCGCACATTCCCAACTACCAGCTACTATGACCACGGGCCTTCCTGTACCTCAAGGCCTGGCACTGATCACCTGTCTTGCTGACATTCGGCATTGAGGACTGTCCCCTCCCACTCCTGAACAGAGGGCAGGGGGAAAAAAGTCCAGGGTTCAGATGGGAGGGGCAGGAATGGGCTGCTCCTGGGATCCAGTTTGAAGGCTAGGGGCTGAAGGGAACCAGAGACCAAGCGTGAGCAAGAATTCAGCCCCCTAGGATCTAGAGGACACAGGCTAGCCCCCCCCCCCCAGCTTGCAGGGGTGAGGGCAGTAAGGAGGAGCATTCTGAGTAAGGTAAGTAAGGCTGGGAGCGAGGAAAGGAGGACCTGGTCTCCCTGCTCTCCCCCCAAGCCAGAGCCTAGGTCCTGGGACTCCTGGGTCAGCAGGGAGGAAAAGACCAGGGCAGGTATAAAGAAGCCAGCTGAGGCACCCAGGGCAGTCTTCCAAGCTAGGGATCCTGAGAGCTGTTGGGAGACTGGGGTGGGGGTGGGGTGGGGGGGACGGGACCCGAACTGGGACTTCTCACTGGATCTCCTTAATTTGGCCTCCACTCCCCGCTTTAACTGATCACAAGCTTTTCAGAGCACATGGTTGGCTGGGTCTGTCCCTGAGACATTTGTCCCAGGAAGTGTACAGGGGGGGAGGGAGGATCAGGCGGGGAATCCAGGAGGGAGGCAAGTGAGAAAACTGTCGGGTCCCTTTCTCCCTCGGGATTCCCAATACCCAGGAGGGATCACTCACAGTTCCTGAGGGCTGAGGTGGGGGGAAATGAGGGCCCAGGGGGCTCCTTTCCGTTCAGGCTGGGTCTGAGCTCAGGAGCTGAGCCTCCGGGCTGTTTGCATAAGTTCCCAGCAAGGTCTGTAACCTGTCCTGCCAGTGGCCAATGCCCAGGCGACAGGGGCGGGCCCTAGTCCATCTGCACCCTGGGCCTTCCCACCTCCAAGGCTAGGGCAGGCATTTTGACCACACCCCGAAATCTACTAGCTAGGGAGGCCAGAGGCCACGGGGGGGGGCAGAACTGGGGATTGAACACTGTGTCTTAAACACTCTAGGCAGGAACTGTACACCCCAGCTCTCATTTTACCCTTTATTTTGAGAGCGTTCAACTAAGTGCACCAGACTGGCTTTGCATTCACTCTGTAGGCCAAGGACCCTTGAAAATGGGATCCTACTTTCTCAGCCCCCTGAGTAGCTGGGATTACAGACGTGGCCCCAGAGGCCACTTTGTCCCTTGGCTTCCTGTGTGGCACTAACCCTGTCAGGAGCGCTGGCTGTGGCCTCCTGACTAATCCCCCCCGCTGTAGCCCGGATGTCAGCAGTGACATTTGGGAGGATTGCAGGGCTGTGGAATTATGCTCAGAACGAAGTGGGTTTGCTTGTCTCCTCTTCCCACTGTTCTGGCCCAGAGGAACAAGGCTAGCCACCTCTGAAGGCCAGCTCCCTGAGACTAAACTTGGTGGCTAGGGTGGGGTTTGGAGTCAGGAGACCTGGGTCTGATTTGAACACACTTCCTCTATGATGCTGTTTGTTTTTGGGGGCAAAAGGGTGTCCCGTGCTGCCTTCTGAGTTGCTAGGCACTGAGCTGTGTGTGTGCAGGCCTCTGAGTGAGAGGACACAGGACTGTTAGCCCCTGGGGGCGGTGTCCAGCTCTGTGATCAGCACACACCAAGTGTAGCATGTGGTACTTGCGTGAGCTGTGCACAGAAAACGCTGAATGTGGTACGAGCTCGCGTCTTCTCTGGGTATGCCTGCTGAGTGGCCCGCCCGAAGGACGGAGCTGATAGGCGACAGGCTCATCTGATGCCCTTTCACCTGCGACACCTCAACACCTCGTGGTCCACACCTTTGCTCCCGTTTCCAGTCACTCCCTCCTTCCAGGGATCCTAACTAACCATTCCCCTCCTGCCTCAGCCCCCATCCCTCCTCCCAGCCTCATCCACTGACTCAGACTTTGGGATGCCTTGATGATTCCACCCTCTCACTCTGACCACGGCGTATCTCCCTCTTCTCTACCAAACTGTTGCCAGCTGCCTACCCTCTCCATCCACACCCTTCAGCCCCCGCCTTCTGGCGGCCATGTCGGATAATGTCCTATGGCCTCTGTCTAACTTGAACTTCTGCCCATTCACCTTGACTTCTAGGCTTCTTCTGCTTTTCCTCTTTGGTCCCTTTGTTTCCTCCTGAGTTCCTCTTTCCCCCCTTTCGTCAACTATATTCAGGTGCACCCCATGTTCTTCTCTACCCCATGCCTCCTGCAAGGCCTCTGTAAACAGTGCCACATCTGCCCACCAGTGTGAATGGGAAGCTGGGACTGAGCCGCCCAACTGCTCCTCCCTGGCCCCAGACTCCATTATCACCATGTGTTACAGCCCTGAGCACAGGAGTCCTTCTCAAACCGGTTCCCTTCCAAGAGCTGCAGGATCAAGTCCAAATTCCCACAAAGCCCTGCCTGATGGTGGATACCACAGCCAGCGCAAACTGGGTTAGGGCAGAACTCCGAAACCTCCATGCAGGTCTGTCCACACCTCTCCTCAGTCCAGCTCCATACGGCCTGAGCAGTGTGGGACAGGAGTACCTAGTGTCTACTATCCGTGTCACATCCCAGACAGGTCACCTCCCAGGGCTGTTTTTGTGCTAGCGTCATCCCTAGGTTTGAAGGCTCCCTGGGGGCACTTGGGAGGCATCTAATCAATTCATGCTTAATGAACAAGCTAGAGTAAGCGAATCGATGTGGGGGGATCATGGCCGAGGGCTCGGAGGAGGTATGGGTGAGGATGGAGAGTATGAGTGAGTTGGAGTATGAGTAGGGTGTGTGTGTGTGTGTGTGTGTGTGTGTGTGTGTGTGTGTGTGTGTGTATCTATGTCCTCTGGAAAACTGCCAGGCTCACCTTTCAGGAAATTCTTTCCCACGCTGTTAGGGACAAGGAAGAGCAGGGGTGGGGTTTCCTTCCCAAGGGAGAACAAACTCGCCATCCCCGCAGTTTGCTGGGGTGTCAGGGAGAGCCACAGCAGACAGTGTGCTATTGCTATACTTAGCACACAGAAGCAGAACGGGCCACGGATGCTGAGTACTCTGTTGAAGCCACAGAGTTAATTAGAGCCAGCAGCAGCCTTTCTGACCAGCATCCAGGTCTCTGGCAGACTTCCTGGTTCCTTCTGTGTCAGTATCAGACCACCTTCAACTGTGTCCCCAAACTACTACTCACAACCAGGAACCTGCGGGGAGCTGGAGGAAGGATGGGGAAAGGTCAGGGATCCTGGTAGTTGGGGAGATTTCTCAGGAGATTCTGGCATCTGGGAGATTCTCTTTCTCCTTGGTCCCAGAGAGCCTGGATAGCCACCCTTGGACAAACTTGCAAAGTGCTGGTTCATGGGTGAAGAGGGATGAGCAATCCCATGGCCAGAATTCAGCACACCTGGCCATTTCCTACAGCCAGGAACTCATGGGGGCAGTAGACATATTCCCAACATATTAGTAGGACCCATAATCTGGAAAGATCCGGGAGTTCTCTAGAGGGAGGGAGCCTGCTAAAGGGCGCCAGAGAACCAACCACAGGCGCCTGGGTTGGCTGATAAGCAGGACGACCATGGATCGGCTGCAGACACTTAAGCCGGTTGAGTGTTGTTCTCCGCAGTGGCCACCAGGAGGAGGGATGATCCGCGGAAACCTGAGCGCAGAGGCTCAGAGCTGCAGCCTACGCCGAGCCAGCAGGACCCTAGCGGCTCCCCCTGCACCGGCTCCTGCCAAGCGCTTCCACGCCTCGCTGCGTTTAAGGTTCACAACAACTTTATTCCTTGGGTATTGTTTACATACGAGGACACCGAGCCCGTCAGCAGCTGGCAAGTGACCCAGCAGAGTCAAATTCGGGTTTCAGTAGCCTCAGAACCTGAACTCTGCCTCAAGGACAAGCCGCAAGGCCACGTAGTTGGCCTATGGGGTCGCACCTCCTGGGTGAGGGCACCTGGGACTCAGTGCCCGAGAGAGGAAGTGAGTTGTGGATAATGCCACAGTGAAATGGCAGATGTCAACCCGTTGGGGGTATCCCTTCCTCCTCCCGCAGGCCATCCCTCCCTAAAGGGTTCTAAAGTTAAAGATTACAGGGCCTAGCAAGAGAATTCCGAGGCTATAAGTGTTTAAAAACGCGCTCTGTTTCCGCTGTTTGAGATCCGAAAGAGAAGAGACCTCACTGCAACTGAACTTGAAAAAGAGCCCATTAAGAGTTTTTGTTTTGTTTTAAAGGAACCGAAATATTGGAAGCGGCCCCCAAGGGAAGCAGATGCTCGACTTTCACATCCACCAACTAAAATCTCATCTGACCCGAAAGAAGAGTGAGAGTTCACAGCTCCAAACCGCTCCTTACAGAGCAGGTGGCAGATTAGGAACGTTATTCGGTGCATGGACCTGCCACAGGTTAGTTAATGTCCCAGCAGGGTTTGGGGCAGCACCCTATAGCCATGTCCATTTGCATTTTTGCATGAAAACATGAATATTCACGATGAGTGAGAGGAAGGGGCACACACCGACCTCAGTTAAAAAATCATTTGGGCTCTGCGCGTCCGTGGCCTCCCTCCCGTCCCCTCGCTCGCGGCGACCTACCTGCTTGGGTCTCTCCTCCCGCGGAGGGCAGCGCACGTCCGGGATGGCCTCGTAGACGTTCTCCGAGTCGCTGCGCGCTAGGGGCCGCGGGCAAACCCAGGAGCCCGCCACGCTGGAGGCCTTGAAGTGGCCCGCGCTGCCCAGGAGGCCGGCAGGGGGCGCGGTGCCGCGGCGCGCCAAGTCGTCCAGGGACTGGGCCGGTCGCACCGGCGCTGCGGGCCGCACGTACAGGCAGGCGGGCCCTCCCGGCGCCAGGCTGCTGCGCTGGCCTCCGGCGCGCTGTCGCGCAGGGCCACACAGGGAGCTGGCGCGGCCCCGGGGCTCGGTGGAGGAGCCATCGGCACCCACCGGGCTGCTCACGAAGCGGTAGTCGTAGGCTAGAGGTTCCGGGACTGCGGGGCGCGGCTGCGGCACGGAAGGCTGCGGGGCAGGGGCCGGGTCGCCGAGTGCGGGCAGCTCGCGCACGTACTGCGCGGGGAGGTAGAAGGGGCGACCCCCCGGCTCGCGCCGCACGTGCCACCAGTGCTCGGTGCTGCGGCGCAGCAGTCGGTAACGCTCATTGGGCTGGATGGCGATTCGGCGCCCGTCTTTGCCGGTGTACTCGAAGGGGTGCTCCACCAGCACGTACACATCCCCTTCGACGTCCGCCGCCATCGCGGCCACCGCGTTTTCCTGCGGGCAACGAGAAGAGGAGCCGCCGAAGTCAGGACCGCGCAGCCTGGAAGAGCACCGCGCCTGGGGCTCAAAGACAAGGGTTCGAGTCCCTCTCCTGCTCTTGCCCCGTGCATTCGGGCTTCAGTTTTTCCATCTCTGAAGTGGGGACTTGGATAAAATCATCTCTTAGGCTCCCATTCTTAAGTCTCCATTCTGTGCCGTTGATTGTGAGATATGTGTCTCGCAGCGATCCCTAGGTGAGGAAATTGAGGATGATTAGGAACTCAACTTTACTCTCCGGGAAACCTTGGCTCAAGGACCTGCGGGGACTGCAAGGTAGATAGCACATTTGCCTGATGGTTGGCTGAGCCTCGCTTTCCGGGTCGGCGAATTGGGAATTAAGGCCCCGGTCGCGCCGCTCCTCCGCCCCCGTCCCGCCCCACCCTGACGCCTCCAGCCTTCAGGGAATCGGTGGAAAGCCCTTAAGTGCTCCCTCCCTTTAGGAGTAAGCGCTCCGGGCAGGCGAGGTTAGCTTTGGGGCGCAGGCTCTGGGGCAGCCCCCAAGTTGTTCCTCCTTAGGGGTGTCCCTGCCTTTCTTAGTCCAGGGACTTTGACGTAGGGCCTTGGACAGCTCAGGCTGGAGAACCGGTTCTCTGGGTTTCTCTTTCCTTTCGCAGTGGCTTGGCTGCACACGTGAACTAGGAGTCCGGCCCGCCCAGCCCGGCCCGGCCCGCCCCCTGCACTCCAGCTCCCAAGGCGGCCTCTAGCAGAAGAGGTTCCTGTGTGCGCACCTGCGTAGGGATCCCCTACACTGCCTGCCCGCCCGGGAGTGTAGCTCCTAGAGGATGCATTGCGATAGTGTCACCAGGGTCCCCTAAAGTTTTTTGGAGTGATCATTATACCCCCCCCCCCCCGCCATGCCTGTTCAGTCTGGTTGGTGCCTGGTGTAGAGGGGAGAGGAACGATCCCAACTGTGTGCCTTCAACAAAGAGAGGCCGATGGCCTACTCCGGAAGTACTGGTCACTCTAAAACCCTACACTGACCACTCCGTTTTCTGCCCTACAAGGTGGCCTGGGGACCAGCAGTGGGGAGTTTGCCTTGTTTTCAAGAATCCTTGATGAGGGAAGGGGTGTAAACTGAGTCACTGAGTACCCTGAGCTTGGGAGGCGGTATCACTGCAGATTAGAGCTAGGCGAGCAAATCCTGGGGTTGTGGACACTCGGATACGCCCCCTTCCCCAGGACCCCACCTACGCACTCACGTTAGCTGGGAGGGTCTCAGGCTGCCCATGGGCTGGATGGGCGGGGCTGGCGGAGGGTTGCTGATGAGGTCTCTACCATCTCTGAGGGCGGGACTTCCAGGGACTGAGACTGAAGGAACCACGCAGAACAGCTGACACAGAGAGGAGAGGCGGAGACCCACACTCAGTAGGACTGTCCCCAGTCCACAATACAGCTTGTCTAGGAAGGTGAGGAGGAGGAGCCATAATGCCTGTGCCAGGGGCCCTTGGGAGATGTGAGAGACTTGGTTTTCAAAGAGGAAAAAAGGCATGAGGGAGGACTGCGTGGAAGGGGTGCTGACGGGTAGCTAGCGAGCGGAGCTTAAGGGTCAGTTGGTTCTGCTTCTCCCTCTCCATCCCGGAGGGATTTGCTGCCCTCGAGGCCCTGCATTTTGCGGGTGCGATGCTCTGGGAATGCGGCGGGAGATGGTTGTCTCGTCCCGGCATGCACATTCTGAGCGAGGCTATTTGCACCCTGAATCATGAACTGCGAGCCCTTTGCAGCCAGATTGAGAGCACTACCCATTCCTGGCGCACCTCCGCCCTCTCAGGGCGCAGCCCGCCCGGGCCTGGAAAAACTAGAGTTCCCTTGCAGGGACACTCACAGGAGCGCAGTGTCTCGGGTTGTGTGGCAAGGGGACCCGTGCCTCAGATCCTTCCTTTATCCGGGGAGAGCGAAGAGAAGGGGAGGGATGCGAGAGCGGGGAGGATCCCTGGAAGCAAGAATGCACCCTTAGCCGGTAGGTCTCCTGCATCTTTTGCCCCGGTCGCCCCTCGCCATGGCGTCTAAATCAGCCTAAATCAGCACTGGGGGACTTGGGCTGATTCCCACCTCGCCCTCAGACAGAAGGCAGCCCCACGCCTAACGCTCCTCCCCGGGGATCAGGCCTCCAGGCCCTCCTCCAGGCTCGCGCTGCTCTTGCCCCAGTGCAGCAAGAAGGGCAAGCGGTGCGCAGGGCTCCAGGGTGGGGACGGCCACCTGGGGCACCTTTCCCGCTCTCCCACCATCCTCCCCAACACCACCCCTCCCTCAGTCCAGCTCGACCCGGGCACCTCAGAACTTTCGCCTGCTGGCCTAGCTTCCACTTGTCCCGGCAGACGCGCGTGGGGTCCGCGTCCGGCGCTGCCTGCTCCACGGCCCTGCTCCCGCGGTGCCCTGTTTCCTGTTCAACAATATAACCGGCGGAGAGCGCTCGGCAGAACTTCCTCCCAGGCTGGGGCTGGGCTGTGCTTGCAAGAGACAATCCCCGGTGTCCTGGCTTCCTGTCCCCTCTGGGCCGGGCCAGCGCTCCAGGAGCAGAGACGCCACCCTTCCCCCTCCTTCCCCGGGATCCTGGGCCACACCTGGCTGTCTCCGGGGAGGAGGCAGTGGCAGGGACTGGATGGAGATCTGCGGGGGAGGTAGTTTCTCTCAACTTCTGACCAGATTACACTCCCACTGACCCTCATCGTTGTAGGGGGCAGAGTCACCGTCCAGTACTCTGCAGGCAGTGTAGTTCCAGGGTCCTTGCTCTTGAGAACCACCTGCCTCTTGGGAAAGCAGCCTTACCACTCTGCGCTGTGCCTGTGAACATTTCTGACAAGGGCAAGCCCCAGCACCAGAATACTTATTCTCTGTGGTCTCCTAGAAAGTGTGGGGTCCAACTAGGTCTCCACCCAGGAGCTGCGTAAGGCTCCTGAGCAGAGACACGGGAACCCTCACACCAGGCCTATGTCCCTCCAAGGCTGAAGGTTCGGCTGGACACCCCCACCCCCATATTTTCTTGAACTTCCATTCCATATCTCTGACTTTGTTAGTCTTGTCCACTAATGAGTCCACATTGTGCCGGGTATCTTAGGATCCACCAGAGAAGGCACATGGCACAAGAAGAGGCTGAATGAACTCTCTCCCTCCACCTACCTTGTCCTTCCCTAACTGCCCTAGTCACTGGGCCAGCCGGCTAGGACCTTGTCTCAGGTACAGCAGCCAGATGCCCAACTCTGCCACAAGCTGGCCTTTAGATATGGAGTACTGCTTTATTGGGTCTCAATTCCTCCCTAAATCTCACAGGGAAGTTTAAATGAGATACACTAAACACAATGATGGTAAGCACATATACTTTATTATTTGTTACTTTCATTTTAGGAGGCACTTTCTGGGGATGAGAACTCATCTTCCCACCCACCCCGTTCTAGTCAGGAGAGGAAGGGGAAACTGTGCCCAGAGGCACTGTGCCGGAGGAGGAGGAAAGACTGAGACAAAGATGGAGCAGCATCAGCTCCTCTCCTGGGCCTGCCTCCCCCACCCTCCAAATCCAGCTCCTCTTCTCTCTCTCTAGGTCCCTGGAGAAGCTGGCTCATAGACAGCCAAGGAGCACCCCACTCAATGGCTGAAGGTCCTCGAGGTCAGGAAATGTAGCCTTGGAGGTTGTCTTTTTCTGTCCCATTTTCCTGCAACCTGGTTTCCCTAGGCCTTAGTCTGTTTCCTTCTTTTGTTCTTATGGGCAGTGGGGGGCTTCTCCTGGAACCTCTGGGAAGGGCAGCAGACAGGCCTCTTGAGCCCTTACTCCAGGAGCCAGGGCCAGGGCTTGCTCTTCTTGCCTGCCCTCTTTGAGCTCCTCTCCTCACCCAGATTCCTGAGCTTTCACAGGTTAGTTGTGTGTGTGTGTGTGTGTGTGTGTGTGTGTGTGTGTGTGTGTGTGTGTGTGTGTGGTGTGTGATCTGTGTTCAGGCATTTAAGGTGGAAGAGAGCTTCAGCAGTTATAGCTGAGTGGTGTAAACCTGAAAGGCTCCCACCTCCACCCAAATTCTGTAACTTACCTCTTCTCCCCTGCCCTTTGGCTGGCAAGTGTGCTCCATGGACCCTGCATCCCCAGTGCCTAGGATTAAGGGGAGTGGGTCGGATGGTTGGTGTGTCCCCAGCAGCCGCAGGATTGAGGTTCAGAAGCCAGACTTGGGTTAGAAAGACCAGCTCTTTACTGCGAAATCAGCCCAACAGCACAGCAGCAGTGCCTTCTCTACACTGCCAAGGCCCACTTGTCAGAATATTGCATAAAATCACATCTCTTAAATAGTGTGGGCACCGCCGAGGTTCACGTGAGCTCTTCTGGTGGCGGGGTAAGTGACTCATTTGAGCACATCAGCAGCTTAGGAAAGGGTGAGGGCCAGCTCTAACGTGTACAGTCCAGGCAGTGGAAGGGATCTGGCTGCCTCAGGCAGGTTCTGGAATACTCTCAGGTAACAAGCCCAAGGGGACAGACTCCTGCCCATTCAGGATCCAAAGCAAAGAGGCTCTGTCATTTTGGGGGAACTGTTAATGCTGGCTGTGGAGTGCAGATATGGATATACTGTGTGGTTCTGGAAGCTTTGGTTTCCCAACCTCTGGAGAGCGCCGTCTTCCATAATAGGGACTTAGGAACTGTGTGGCAGCCTCTGCTACCTGCCTACAGCCTCCTCTGCTATTGCACAATTCTTCAAGCTTCAGGAGGTGACTCAGCTCATTCACCTCAGGGAGGGTGGGAAACCTCTGCTCTAGACATGACAGGCACATTTCCAGGGAGGCCCTCCATTCCACCTGCAGCCTCTGGCTTTAAGTCGAGTACTCTGGGATAGCCAGAAGGGTTGCGGGGTCCAGGAGAGGTGGGGATAGCACAGTACATACCTATTCCCCGAAATGCCTCAAGGCTCTGAACATCACCTCAAGAACAATCCGGGACGCTATACCAGCCCCAAGAGCCTCTTAGGGGCAACCCTGCTCCTAGGAAGCTCACTAGTGTCCTGCTGGGTGCAAACTGAAGCTTTATGATCTCATGGCTTTGTGAGATTAGGGCTGATGAAGTTTCTGCAGGGCAGCTTCTGAGTATATCCCTCTATCTCTCTGTAGCCAAAGGATGGCACCTATTCTCCACAGTTGGACCTTGGAGCCTCTCTGGTGTCTAGCCTATTCTACCCTGGCAGGGGTTGGCACTACCACATTCAGGACTAAGGAGGGCATGGGGATGAGGTGAGCAAGATCATGGCCTTCCTGAACAAGGAAGGCTCAAAGTGCTGACAGTGCTGGTGTTGGTCATCCCCCTGCTCCTGCTGTGCTGTGCTCCCAGGCCAGAAAGGAGCCAGGGGCTCTGCCAGAGGACGGGACACTTTCCAGGTGAGAGCACGGAGAGGGGAGGGAAGGTGGACGCTGAAACTGAGCAGCCCTGCAACGATGGGCCATTGGCACATAACACTTGCACTCTTGGTAGAAAGTACCAAAAAGGGCAAAGGAAAGGCACCCAGTCCAGAGGCCTGTCCACCCAGTCCCATGCCTGTCTCTGGGCTGGGGCTGCTCTTGCCCATCTGCTTGGGTGAAGGGTTGCATTTCTTAGGTGACTTAGGTAGGGTCAAGAATAAAAAAATATTTTCTGTTTAAATATGAAGGGGAGGGGGGAACCCACCTTAAAAAACTAGACCTTTTCATCAGGAATGTGAGTTGAAAGTGCTCACCAAGCCTCATTTCCACAGTGTATGAACAGCCCTAATGGAGGTGCATGACAGCTAGATAAGCCAGGCCTGATGACAGGCCCTGGGCAGAGGCACCTGGTGGGTCCCCACCTCCTGGAGCAGAAGGGTACTGAGGGGCCAGGGGGCATCACTGGGACTTCCTGGGCCTTCTCTGGAGGTGAGAGCTCTGGGCACAACTGAGAGTCTTCCTTACAGGGAGACAGAGAAGCCTAGGCTGACGACAAACCCAGCTGGATGGCCTTGGAAGGTCAGGACAGCAGGGTTAGCTGACCATGTTCTTCTGTTCCTGGTACTTGCGCCGGCGGGCACAGCGGGGACAGCCCTTCCTCACCACAGCCTGGCAGCTCTGATGGAAGACAGTTCTGCATTCAGCACACCTGAGAAGAGAGCATCAGATGCTGCTACTGCAGTCATCTAGACGTGCCTGGGGCCAGGCTGGCCAGGGCCTCAGACAGAACCCCAGAGAAGCTGTGTTCTGTCTGCAGCCCACACTCACGTGTGCTGGCCTCCAGTTCTCTTGGAAAGCACTTCAGACACTGAACCCATAAGTGCCCCCATGACCACTGATATTCTGTGCCCTACTTCATTCTTTCCAAGTGCTGCTTGAGGGTTTATGTGACTTCTTGCCTATCTTTAAAGCAGTTTAAACAGCCCAGGCCCATGCAGGGTTGACACTGGCTGGTTTATCCACTGAAGGTGAGTGGATGATCCCTCTAGCTCAGCCTTCCACTCCTACTTGGGGTAAGGGAAGACTGGGGAATATAACCCTGTTCAGGGGCTTCTAATGATGTGCAGTAATGCAATCACCACTTACTGCAGCTGGGGGCATGGTAGGCACTAGCTACCAGGTACCCACTTGGCTAAGCCTCAGGCTAGCGCTCAAGGGCTAGGGCTAGATTGTCAACCCCTCGACCATCTGTAGACTGAGCTCAAAGACATCCCACTTCATGAGGCAGCAGCCATCTACTCTCTCAGGTAATGGAAGGGGTGGCTGTGAGCCCAGGCAGCTCTGGGCAGTCACAGTATCCTGGGCACTGGCAGAGCAGAGTGGATGTTCGGCATGTCCCTGCATAAGAGGATGAGGGTTACCAGGGACGCCGGGTCAGACTGTGGTTGTAGGGGTAGCTGGCCATGTCACTCCTCGTACCTGACTGTGGTGTCAAACTCAAAGGGAAAGATGATGTCATGGTGGTGGCAGATCTGGCAGATGAAGCCTCGCTGGGTGCACAGGTCACAGTGGTAGACATGCTGGGAGGCGAACTCAATCAGGGCTTTGAGGAATCCTTCATACACCCCCTCTGCAATCTGCAGGAGCAAGTGGAGACCAGTCTTAGGTGGTTCCACTGCCACAGCACCCGCCTCAGAACTTCCCTGTTTCCACTGCTCTCCTGTGGGCAAGGAGAACTCCCTGCATCAGCCTGCACCTGAGGTCACTGGGGTATGGGACCTACAGATGGATCCCAGGCAACTCTGTGGAGGTAAGGCCTCCACTCACCCTTGGGAGGCCGGAGCCTTTGGTTAGTCCAGGAGGTGGGGTCAATGACTGCTCAGGAGGAGAGGACAAAGGGAGCCATTCTGAGGGGTGGACTGTTGAAGATTGCTGCCTGGCCTGAGTTAACCACAGGTGCCCCTTCTGCTATTTCTTTTTTCTTTTTTTTAAATTTATTTAAAAATTGCACTGGAGTGCATTGGAGTAAAGGTGTCAGATTCCCCTGGAAGTGGAGTTACAGACATGTGTGAGCCTCCATGTGGGTGCTGGGAATTGAACCCGGGTCCTCTGGAAGAGCAGTCGGTGGGTGCTCTTGACCATTAAGCTATCTCTGCAGCCCCGCCCCCCTCTGCTATTTCTCTGAGATTTCTTCAGGATTAAGAACCTTCTAGTGAGTCCAGGATTTAGGGGTGGGGAGTACGGCATGCTCACCTGCTGGAGGTCAGCAACACTGAATTTGTGAGGAGACTCCAAGAGATAATTCCTGTGGCTTAGCCTGCAAAGACAATACAAGCACTTCCTCAGAAGGGCGGGCTTCCAAGGTTAGACCTCCAGGTCCTTGTTTTCTTCTCCTCAGCCCTGCCTACCAGCCAGCAACACAGGTCTGGGTTACCAGGCAGGCCAAGAGCACACATCAGTCTGCCTGACTCCCACCTGAGTGCATTAGTTAGCCCCCGGTACCTGGGGCAAGTTAAGTGACCTCTGAACCTCAGGCATCCTCCCGGGAGACATGGAATTGTTTGGAGGATTAACTAATTTACTGAATATATCTGGTACACTGTAAACACGTGACTACCGAGCGATGAGGATGATGTATGCTGACACTTGGTACCCGGAACTGGGCTAAGCACCTAGTCTTTGTAGTAATCCCGTGAAGCCGGTCTGATTTTAACTCCCATTTTGAGAAGACAGGAAACACAGGTTCAATGACTTGCCTGAGGTCACAGAGTTAAGAATCAGAGCTTGAGCACAGGAGTCGTCTGGCCCGTACCTACCCCTCCACTGAGTCTGTGCCACCACTGAAACAGTTCTGAGGACCCTCCCCCCCCCCCCCCATCATGTTCAAGTATCTGGTTTCCCTGACTCTGAGAGGAACTGATTCATACTCCAGGCAAAGCAGATCCTATTTCAGGTTGAGGAGCAAAAGATGAAGGCAGGACACCAGCCCTGCTCAGGTTCCTAACAGTGGTGGGGACCCCAGGTCACATCCTGAGGGGGGGAGAGAGAACATCTGCAGAAAATCTCTGGCCTAGAACCCGATGACCATGTGTGTGGGTACTGGAGTGGAAGGCATGGAGTGGGGAAGTGCAGGTCCTATCTGGGTACTCAGGACATCTAGAACAGGACAGTGCCGGGCCCCTAGGAGACTGGCCACGCCCTAGCCAATGGCCTCAGTTCTGATCCACAGGGAGTCCAATCTGGGGCTAGGATGGTGAATCCTACACAGCGGAGCAGGCTACACTGAACCCTGGGGTGAGGACTCCAGTTTGCCCCAGTGAGCCTCCAGCTTGTGTGAACAGGAAGCTATCATTTACAGTCAGGAAAACAGAGGGGTACAAAGACTGGCCCTGAGTTGGCAGGAAGGGTGGGGTTGATCTGGGGGAGATTATCCCTGTCATCTTCCCTTTGTCCAGTCCTAGGAGCCAGGAGGTCCAGGGCCTTCCTTGGGAGTCACTGTACCCTTTGCCTGTCACTCCCAGTGTGGTCGTCAACGAATTTTCCTGTAAGGTTTGGTCAAGGGCAGATACAGAGATGGACACAGCTGGTCCTGGGCCTCAGTTTCCCTCCCTACAGAATAAGAAGACCCCTCTCAGTGCTCTGGAGCAAAGTTAACCGGCTGAGGAAGGAGGCAGGGACCCTGCCAGGGCCAGGTGATGGGGGAGCCTTTCATGGGTGGCCAGGGATTTTGCCTGTTTCATATAAGTCCTACCCTTCGTCTGGCCACTAACTTCCTGGGAGCTTCCTAGCCTCCTGGCCCTTCTAGCTCCTGCCCAGGCTGGCTTGGGTACCCTTCCTGAGGACCCATACACTGCGGACCCAGCCATCTGTCTGCCTGTCTATGGCTGTTACGGCCCAGACACTGAGGCTCTCATGTGGTCCTAACCACAACTCAGGAAGGCCATATAACCAAGACCAATGGTCCACACCTTACGGATGGGTAAACAGGCTTAGAGCACCAAAGATACTTCCTGGAGCCATGCAGTGGTCCAGGTCAGGCAGGGGCTGCTCCTATAGTCTCCCTTGCTCTTTGCTTCCTCTAAAAGGGAACTTCCAGGGGGAAAGAATGCTTGCTGCACAGAAATTTGGACCTGAGTTAGGACTCCCCAGTACCCATGTAAAATGCTGGGGTGTGGCTGCAACCCCAGTGTTGTGGGGGGCAGAGAAAGGAAGACCACTGAGACTCACTGGCCAGCCAGTCTAACCAAAAAAATGGCAAGCTCCAGGTTCAGTGAAAGACTGTCCCCAGTGAACAAGACAAAGCCACGGAGCAGGACAGAACTTTGGCCTCTGCATTCACGTACATGGGTGTATGCAACCTCTCTTCCCCCATGCACACATGTACCATATGTACACACATACAAATACATTTTTAAAATAAAACAGGGCTTTCACAAGCCTGGCCTGCTCTCTAACAGCAGGGCTGAGCCAAGGTGGGGACAGGGAGTCAAGAAGATGGAGACAGAGACAGGCTGCCTGAGCACCTGGCAGAGGCTGTTGGGGACAAGTCAGCAGGTAAGGTGAGTGAGCCAGGCTGCAGTCACCCATCCACCCAGCCCTTCAGAGAGGGCAGTGAGACTTTTCTCCTACCCAGAGATTTTGCCCCTGGGCAGGTGTACACATTCTTTGGAGCCCCGGCCCCTGGAATCCCTGGGAGCAGAAAATGGGTCAACTTCATGGAAAAAGGGAGACCCAGGTACTGGGCTGATCTTAGGTGGCAGAGCCCCCCAAAAGGCTGTTCTTCTAGGCCCCGTGGAAGGAGGTAAGGCTCTGGGGGGTTAATTGGCTGTTCTGAGCAGAAAAGGGCCAGTGTTCCCTTCTGCCCTACCCAATAGTCAGGAGATCATCACTGGACACACCTATCCCCAAGGCACAGTGCAGGTAGGCCTCTGGGAGGACTGAAGTATGCCTGGGCCTGAGGAGACATGCTCAGACAGTGCTCTCTGGCTGGCCCCTAGGGAAGCAAGGCTAGGGAAGGACAGCCTGTAGGCACCTCTGGTCTCCAGACATCTAGCAAAGCAGACACAAACTCCGTATCGGGCAGTGCACCTCGCTCTTCTCCAAGGCCCAAAGAAAGTACAGCCCCTCAAAAGTCACACCTTTGGTCATGAGTTGGGGCCTGAGGTTTATAAGGCAGTCACAGAGAGACCTTATAAGACTATCCTGAAGTCCAAGGTCACCTCCCATTTCTTGAGCACTAGAAGATCTAGGCTCTGAGTAACAAGGGGCTTCTAGAGGGGTCTCCCGAGAGTGTTGCCAACTGTACACGCTGCAGATGATCTAGAGGAAAGCTGCCAAAGACGACAGCAAGCAGCCAAGGGATGAGGCGGGCTAGCATCCTTCTCCGTTCTGCCCTTTACTGCTCTGCCCATCCTGTCCTCCTCCAGCCAAAGCTCTCCTGAGCTTTCCATGCATGGTGCTTTCCTCATGGCCCATATGTGTCTCTCCTCAGCCAACCCTCTTCTCCTCCTTCCCTCTGTAACTTCTTTTGCTTTTTAGGTCTATTCAGAAGTCCCTCCAGAAGTCTTTCTGATGTATCTTCCCGACCTTCAGGTCAGATGTGTCTCTCTGTACATCTGGAGCATCCTTCCTCTTGCCCTCCCTTTGGCCCTGGTTGGAGGTGCTGCTGGCTCCCCTGCTTCCCACCAGAGCAGTGGCTTCCTGAAGGGAGGCCCTCCGTCTGCTTTACTCAGCACAGTATTCACCTCCTTCTCCAGGCACTTGGAACAATTGTTCTCAATAAACATTTGTTAAACAAATGAATGAATGAACGTATGAACAAAACCACACACCACCCTCAAAGGATACAGTGATTTAGCCCAGAGGGAAGTTCCAGCTCAGCTCTGGCATCTCCCAGGGACACACTGCCCAGGCTTTGGCTGGTGTGTGTGCACACAGGTGCATGTGCACATGAAGAGCGCTCACCTTTTGCTCAACTCCTTCAGGGCACCACTTCTGCACAGGCCCAGGTAATCCCCCAGAAGCTTCAGCTGTTCCCGGCTCCTGCCAATGAGGTGCATGCGCTCCACATGCTCATACAGAGAGGCGTTCACCAGCTGCAGGTTGATAAGGGGCTGGGCCCGGATCTGTGCCAGGAACTTCAGGGCCTGCCGGCAGACCTGGAAAAATCCAGGGAAGACTTTGCCTGCTTAGCCAAGGCTTCTGGCTGGATGCTGTGTTACCTAGTTCAAACCTGCCTGCAGCCTGTCCCCACGGAATGGTACTTTCTTCAAGTTACAGACCAGGAAAGAAGGTCAGAGAATTGAGGCCACTTAACCAAGGTCACGCAGCTCAGAAAACAGTCTTGTCAATATCTGACACCAGTCTGACTCCAATCCTGTTGTCTGACTCTGACCATGCTGAGACAAGGGAGGTGCCCTCCCCACAGCCCTCACAGACTCTCCACACTTTCCTGTCCTCCCAGCCCCCCTTTCCTGCCTACAGGAAACATGCTGTCCTCTGGGCCCTAACTCAGGAACCAGGTGACTCCGCTGCCATCAAGCTCCAGCTACAGGAAGCTACAGAGCAGACAGAGCTCCATGACATTCCTAAGTGCCCTCAGCTCTTGCCACTGCTTGAGGATAGTCTTACTGGGTCTCATCTGCCTGTGCTCCACACTTTATATTCTCGCATCTTCAGAACCATCCCTGGGGAGAGGTAGCAGTGCCCGTTTCACAGATGGTAAAACAGCCCGGAGAAGCGAAAGTGGCTCCTCCAACTTGCCTGTGGATGGCAGAGGCCAGCAGGCATGGTCTCTCAACACAGGGCTGCCATAAACTCTGTTTCCTGTGGCCAAGAGCTAAGGTTTGCGAGAGGAAAATCGAAGCATACTCATGACATTATTTTGACTTTACACTAAAAGACATAAGCTTTGGCACAGGGCCTGACAGGCTGCATGCATATCCTCAGTAAATGAAATCTGCTGCCGCCACAGTGCCAGAGCCCGAGGGGCAGGGCATGTATAATGGGATCCTCAGGAGAGCGCCCACATACTCGGGGCTGGAGGGACCCTGATCCTATCTCCCAACTGTCAGCAGCTATCATCTCCCCCAACAATAGATAACTATTTCCCATGTGCCAGAGCCCTGAGCTAACAGCCCCTAGTCTAGGCAAAGCCCAGTGGCAAACCCTGGTGACTGGGGTCAAATTGCTACCCTCCAGACTGAGCCCAGCTCTTGCCACAACTCAGTCTCTGTCCCTAGGCAAGGTTCCGCTGAAACAACATCCAGCAATATGTGCTAAACACTGCCTAGCCCTGCACACGGGGCTCCATGCGCCCCACAGGCTGTTTGTATCCCATGGGCATGGAAGAGACAGGCCACAGCAGAACCCTGGTTCTGGGCTGATGTTCTGCCAGGATGCCAGCTGGATCTCAGCACAAGTGGGTCAGCCAGCGCAGGAGCAGCAAACAATGAAGTCCCCAATCCTTGGGCCAACTACTCTCTGTTTTGAATTTTCCCAAGCCAGTGATTGCTGAGGGAGAACTGGCTGTTTCCTGGTCCCAGAGGCATCTGGAACAGGACTGCAATGTCCCCAGTGAGGGAAAAGATGAGGCACAGAGATTCCAGCAGTGAATGGGGCGCTCCGCAGAAGTACTAGGCTGAGTGTTCTTTTACTGTTGAGGGCTCATGTGCATCTCTGAATTTTAAGATTTACGTTCCTCTTTGTAGCTGAATAGTCGATACTGAGGACAAGGGTGGAGACAAGGTAAACAACAGAAGGCCAAAACAAAGCCAGTGTTGGGGTTTCCCCTCACCACAGGGGTGAAACTGACTCAGAGTCACCATCCCTGTATGGTGGGACACATCCAAAACCAAGACTGCAGCCCACAGGCTCTGACAGAAGCAAACAGCTCCTTCCTTGGGTTTCTAGGTCCATGCCCTTGGGAGAAAGCCAAGTCTGTTCTCCTGGAGAAAGACCCTGGTAAGTGGCCCTAGGGACGGAAGTGTAACAGCTTGTGAGGAAAGAAAGGCACTGTTGACAGGCACTATGAGACTCTCACAAGCAAGTAAGCAATCTCCTCCAGAAGTATACATGATAAAGGTACCTAAGGGCCATCCAAGAGGGCTCAGCAGGTAAAGGGGTCTGCGGCCAAGCCTAATGAGCCAGTTCAATTCCCAGACACACATGGTGGGAAGAGAGAACAGACTAGTGTTTGCACATACCGTACACACATACACACACACACACACACACACACACACACACACACACACACACACAGTAATAAAAAAAGTACCCAAGATATAATATTAAATAAACAAAATGTGCTAAAGCAAGGTGAGTCCAGATAGTTATGTAAACAAATACACAGAAAAGGATATGTCTCAAAATACTTTAAAAATTAGCATGGCCATTTTACAGTGGAAAACACTGATATCAGAGGTTAAAAACTCTGAATAGTGGTTATCCTCAACGATAACAGCTAATTTTGACCTGTCTTTTTGGGCTTCTCTAAGTTGTAGGGGTGAAGTAATAACCATCCGCATGACCTAGAAAAATGCTTTCTCTTCCCTGCTGTGACGTGCAGTTGGCCTGGCCCCAGAGGAGCAACAGAAGCAGAGCTGACTAAGGGGTGCAGCTGCTGGCTCGGCCTTTAGCCACTACCCACCCATCTGTATGTCAGTCCATCCATCCACCAGTGTAGGAAATCTCCTCTCCTAACTCTCCACTGACCAACCTCACTACCAGTGTTTTAAACAACTCTGTTGCTAGCTGAGCTTCAGGGAACTGTCCTGAGGTGGCCACTGGGGACCAAGGCAGAGTTTTACAAAGCCCTGTTCATGGGCTGCGGACAAACACCAAGCTTTTAGTCCCACATCTCAGGGCCTGAAACGGTGACTCTGGCTTTCCTACAGACACAGTCCTCCAAACAGGCAGCCCAGGGGAGAATGTTTCTCAGTCACAGAGCAGCTCTGTGTGACCAATGACAGCCTGGCCTGGGGACTTACCGGGCGCTTGGTGAGGTCCCAGTTGTGGATGATCCTGGCTGGAATCACTGAGGCATCGTCTTGGTGGCAGAAGTCACAGTAATACAGACCAGAGAAGGCACAGAGCTTGGGTCGCACAAAGGAGAAGCCAATCTGACGGGAACAGCCTAAGGGAATGGACGGTGGGTGAGTGAGGAGTAGGCTCAGAGGCAGCTTCACAGAACATGGGACCTGCTACAGTGGGAAAGGCCTGCTAGTATAAAGATAAGAACAGTCACAATGGGCTGGCCAGATGGCTCGGTGGGAAAAGGCACTTGCCACCAAGCCTGACGACTAAAGGACTGAGGTTTGATTCCTGGAACCCACATGGTAGAAGGAGAGAACTGAGTCCTCTGACCTCCTCTTTCTCTTAATATACAATTTTTTTTAAAGCACTCATATTTCCATCACTTAAAATAACTTTTTTTTTTTTTGAGACAGCGTCTTACTATTTATGCAGAACAGGCTGGTCTTGAACTCACAGAGACCTGCCTGCTTTCCGCCTCCCAAGTGCTGGGATTAAAGGCCTGTAGCATCACACCTGCCCAAACTGCTGATTATGACAGCATGCTATTAAACAATGATTGCTGGGTCTGGGAGGGAGGCCGAGGGAGGAGGATTGTGAGTTTGAGGTCAGCTTAGGGTTACACAATAAGAACCTGTCTCAAAACAAACTCACAGGAAGACATCTGTCAGGCCATGCCAAGACAAGTGGTAGGTAGCACTCAGATTTGGGCTCGGTTGGCCACAAAGCCAGCATTCTCTACAGCCACCTCTGTGCACGGGCTCCATGGCCTGCTCCCCAGTGCCAACCTGCACTGCTACCTCTCCACGGGGCTTAGAAACAACAGCAACAAGGCGGGAACCTTGACCGGCAGTGACGGATCTGTGGAGAGAGGTCCAGCCACAGAAGTAGCTGGGGAAGCCAGCAGGAACAGCATGACCCAGACATAACATGGAGTCCACTGCGTCTCTAGTAATGTATCTCAGGACAGTGGGCAGTGATCTCTCCATACCAGAGAGCAGCGAGAGTCAGGAGTGCCCAGGGCAAAAAGCTAACATGCAACTTCAGTGCGTAATCACCCCCTGCCTCCCATTGGCATGGGTGTGTGTGAGTGGGGCACGGGGGTGGGAGGAGGTGCCTTTGGTCTCACAACCAAAGAGCTGGCTTTCTTGCTCATCAGCTGCCTCGTCTTGACCTTTACCTAACTGTCCTAAGATTCTGTTTCACTGTATAACTTAGCTACTGCCAGCTATTTTGTGAGGTCATTACAAAGTGTAAATAATGCAAGTGCCCTGTAAACTATGAGTTTTAACACAACTATCACTGGTTGGCATCTTCCTGGCCACAGACAGGGCAGCAATACAGAAAGCTCCCTAGGTTTACAGGTCTCTGATGGGAGGCTGGCAGGTGACAGTCACAGGGAAGAGTTCTCCTTCTAGTACTCACACCCACGGACAGGAGCCTCCCCCACAAGAGCGGAGTGTGAGTGCTGGGGCAGGCAGAGGTTTGCAGGTGTTTTCTGCAGGAAGCTCTGCTCAGCCCCTTCCCCCACCCTCCAGGGGCTGCCACAGGCCACTTCCTTCCAGGCACTTGAAGCGGGCTTCCCTCTATGGTCCCATGGGCTCCACCCCAACAGGACGGCTCAGCTTTCTGCTCCATTCTTCCGCAACAGGGCAGCTGACATCTCCCCTGGACAGTAAGTCCAGGGGGTGGGTGGGAAGAGGTGCCAATGGAAGGCAGACAGTGGAACAGCATGAAACCAGGGCCCTCTGGTGTCATG